CCTTCATATTCCTTTCATAGCATTTTAACTATAATTTTCATACTTTTGAGATTTAAAATTAAAAAATCAATATTTCCCAGCTCTGAAAACGTTAAAAGACGAAAAAAGATTTTTTAAAGCTTGTAATTCAAAATTTCCAAATTAATTGGTCTAGTAAAGAATAATCCATCATTTGTGAATTAAGTTGAAGGTTTTATTTGCATTAGTTAGAATTATCCGATCACCCTTTTGCTCGATAACTTTTTCAATTTTGGACGTAATATTATTAGGCCTGTCTCATAGAAACTCCCGTCTGTGTGAAAAAAAATTAGAACAAACCATTTTAACAGGCTTCTCTTAAGACGAATTCTTCACCAGCCAAATTAATCGCCATGGATAGAATTTCCCTCCTGTTGGGCAAAGCTACACGCTTTTGAGTGTTTGCATCCTTCAGACGGTCTAATTACTAACATTACAGGTCCAATGTAAGAGTATGGCCGTAAGGGAGGAGATCGTTTGCACCGGCTCGCTGTCCTTTTGACCACGACCGGTCACATTTCGTGTTGTAGTAAGTGCCTAAATTTATTACATATGATTAAAGATTTATTTCAATAAAGTGACCTTGTAACTTTGAAGTGATTAAATGTGAATTTTTTTAGAAAACTTTTATAAGAAATATACAAAATTGCTTTAACATAGTTTAAATTAACAATTTCAGTTATGAAAAATTTAATTCTAAATAACTACATCGGATATCTATATACCTACTGTATAGACTTAAAATTTATTCTAAGCCTCCCTCGAACGACTGTTAAGTTTTTATGAGGAGCTTTTTACATTGACATTGACATTTGACATTTCCTTCCGAGAGGCGACAGCAATTAGAAAAGCTAAACTTTTAAATTACTTTTGTTTAATTTTGATTGTCAAACCGATGACCTTCAGTATGCTAGTACGCACTATGAACGCCCAAATCGAAAAACCAAAACAACGATTTCAAACGCCATATTTAACGGTTCAATGTAGTGAATAATGTACATAGGATTGTGTTAATAATATTACTTAAATATTTAGTTATAAAAAAGTTGGCGTAGTTGGTACTTTGTACATATTTACATACTCGTAGAATATATTTAGTTAGAGTTGTAAGGGTTTTCCGAAAGAAATTCATTTCAAATATTTGTATTGAGTAATGTATTTGTTATTGATGTTCATCTAGTGCTTTAATTAAGTGTATACTAATTGTATGTTTTATTAGTATAGTAACTCATATATCTGGATACATATAATCACATAGTTTGCTCGAGTAGCCTATCATTTATTTATACTAAAATATCAAATTTTTCAGGGGGTGAATATACAATGAAATTTAAAGAATTTTTGGCCAGTAATTTATGAACAATGATGTAATGTTTGTGAGAGTTGATCTCAACTTTTCCGCTGGAATTACTCCCTCAAATGACGCAAATGCTCATTCGTCTTACTGACGAAAATGCCAGAATTGAAATTTTGAAGAAAGTTCGCAGCCAGAAATAAAGTGAATTGGCAATAAAGAACTCAATTTCTTTTGACCAAGCCAAGTGTTCTTTAAGGTCTGCTTAAAGCGCTTCAATTAAGGCATATTCAAAATAACGTATTACTGTGATTTTAAAAGCTTTCCTGTAAACCAAGCTCTTTTTTATTAACTTATTTTTAGTATGAAAAGAAGAATTTTTTTTTCTTATTAAAAATTTCAAGTCTGGCTGGTTAGTCGAACCTTTCACCTCTTCATTGATACCTGAGGAATTTTAAGTTTTTGTCAAGCTCATAATTTCTATGAAAGCTTTTGCTCTAAATGGAGATATTTTTAGACGACTTAGCTTTGAATTTTTATGTGAATATTATATTGATTATAAGAAATTTATTTATTTTTAGAAAAATAATAACTGTATCCATAGGATTTTTCAATAGATTTTAATGGAATAATATATTATTATCATAGTTTGAGATATCTTATAAAAATTTAAATAAAATATGAGCTTCTCAAATCATCCAAAAGTAAACTCTATCAAACATAACTATATTTTTATTTATATTACATAATAATATAAGAACACTTCTAGCTTATGTCTCTCATTATTATGAAAGCTTTTTGCTTGTAAGCAGCTTTCCCCGGAATCTCCCTTATACGCAGGGGAATTTGTATGAAAGCTATTTATGTGAAGTAACTTTTCCGTAAAATCTTTTTATTTGTAAGCAACTTTCCACGAAAGCTCGCTGCTTACAAACAACTTTGCATGAAAGCTCGCTGCTTGTATGCAACTTTTTTGATGAAAGCGTATTATATAAGTATTATTAATGCGTAAACGCAAAAGTATAAATTTAGTTACTTTTAGATAATAGTAAAGTCATTTGTTTAAATGTCAAAGGGTCCAATCAATACATTATTTAGTAGCTATGTAGAGCTTCATCTCATAAATTATTGTAAATAGCTGTGAAATGTGAATTTGTATAAAATTTTTATTGTCGCCAGTGTGCAAACGCTTATCCACCTACATGCGCTTTGATGTACACGTATATGTATGCTACACATATTACATGCTATGAAAACTATTGCATGCTAAACTATGTAATCCATTTGATGTATTTATGTATATTGTTTGTTTGTACAGCTTGAAAACCGTTATGTTACTAAGCATGTCTCTACTTTTCACTTTTATCTTTACTATTTGATAAATGCATAAAGCTTTCTTGAACAAAAAAATAACCACACAAACACTCTACATATATATATTTATTATATAAATATATTTATATTTATACTGCATGTGTGTTATTATTGTTCCTTAATTGATTTCCTATTACCAAAATATTTCAATTTTTCTGAATATAAAATTACAATTTCATTTTAATCACTTTTAGAACTCATTATAAGTTCTTCTAAATATCTTTTCTATTTAAAAAAATTTTGTTTAATTTTTTAAAAGTTTTTTAAGCTTTGAGTTAAGTTTATTTCATTAATACTTAATTTTAATTATATTTTTTTTTCTCTTACGTAATGTAATCAAGACAGTCCCAAAGTGATCACAACTCAATATGATCTCAAAACGAACGATTTGTGACTTTTAGTAGAGATCGGTAGCGATCGATAGGTGTGAGAATGAGATTTGCTAAGCTAAGAGAGAGCTTTGATATGTGTAATTTTAATTAATTCTGCTGAAGTAATCGAATAAGTACTAATTGTAGACAAGATTTTTATATAAGGCTGATCACCGATCTTGATAGTTGAGTAGTCCACGAACAATAGAATGAAAAATAAAGGATTTCGTATGCATTTTTACAATAGCAGTTTGCCGCTTCTATTCAACTCTGAGCGAGCTAAGCAAAGCTTATTTCGCCGCTACAATGTTACAGCGAGTAGTCGAAAAGATCTAACTCTCCTTCAAATAAACGCCATATATATCAAATATCATATCAAAAAGTTATTTAGTATTAAGTGCTAATCCTACTCTTCTCTCGAAAAATTGTGTGTACCCTTATTGATGATTACTTAGAAGGGCATACGGCCGCCAAACGTCACGACTCATGAAAGGAGAAAATGTTTGCACTTTATTCAGCACGCTCAGTCTGTAAATACAGGGTAATTTTTAAGAGCTTTAGGAAGCCTTATTTGAATCGATAGTACGGTCCACATAATTTAGTATATGAAGATTATTTCATGCAAATGTCGAGCGCTTAGTCCAATTTTGGCATACTCCTTTCAACATTTCGGCCGGTATTTCACGAATAAATGATTCAATGTTGTCCTCCAATACGTCAATAGAAGCGGGCTTCTCTGGATAGACATAAGATTTAACATAGCCTCACAAAAAATAGTCTAAAGGCGTAAAATCGCACAATTTAGGCAGCCAATTGTCCGGTCCCGAACGTGAAATGAAATGTTCACCGAACTCGCCTCCCAATAAATCCATTGTTACGCGCGCTGTGTGGCATGTGGCACCGTCTTGTTCAAACCACATGTCATGCAAGTCAAACTCTTGCATTTGGGCAAAAAAACGTTAGATTTCATCTTATGGTAGCGCTCACCATTCGCAGTCACATTACGATTCGCATCATCTTTGCATAAGTATGGCCCAATGATGCCACCAGCCCATAAACTGCCTCAAACTGAGACTTTTTCTGGACGCATTGGTAGCTCTTACAATGCTTCTGGTTGAGCTTCACTCCAAAATCGACAATTCTGCTTATTTACGCACCCTTTAGGCCAAAAATGCGCTTCTTAACAGAGCACGAAGAGCATGGTTAAATTATAGACCAAGCAGAAGGTGTTTGACAGTGATGCAAACTGCGAAACGTGCGTCAGCTGCTTAAACCAATGTTGCCAAAAAGATAATAGCTAAAAAATCACTGTTTATTTCTTATTTTTCTTTTCATTCATATTCCCAACTTGAACACGGTTGTTTTCCCAAACATTAGATGAACCCAGAGTCGAGCGTTTGCGCCCTTTCAGATTAAATGACCTACCTATTTGATATAGAAGCTAAGGAAAAAAGAAATTCTGAAACGTTTTATTATATTCTTTCATTTTTGTTTTATAAAAAAAAAATATTTTTAATTTTTTATAATATTAAATATTTTCTCCAACATTACTTGGGCTCCTCTTGGTTATTATTGCGTTCAAACTTCTTGCTAAAATTCTTTTATGTATATTATTTTGAATTAATTATTTCTTTACAAACTATTTTAAACAAAATCTTAAAAACAGAAAGTTTAAACCAACATTTTATTTAAACAAAAAAATACAAAATAAACAAAAGCAAGCAACATTTAGTAATGAAAATCAAATGCTCATACTATTATTTATTGCTCACCCACTGAGATTATAACAGAAAAAAAAAACAAAAATAAGCAAAACAAGACAAAATAATAAGTAAAAAAGAAACAAAACAACAAATATGAACATTAAAATAGTTAAAATTTGCAAGAAATAATAGTTAAAAAATAAATTTTTCTGAGTATGCTGATTAGTGAATATCTTACAGATGATTTCCATCCACCACCCACATTTACGCCGCCAGAACTGCCCAAGCGGGTGCATGTGCGCGGATCAGTAACGGGTAATAATATTATACAAATATACATTAATACAACAATTACATGCTCATGAAGATCTCAAAAATACTTCTCTTTTTCTTTACCTCATCTCGACCGAATATGCGACATTATTTTCGCTCTCATTAGTTTTCATTATAATTTTTCTTCACAACATCAATAAACAGAAATGCTTACATACAAATCAAAAACAAAACGAAAGAAGGGAAAGGAAATTTTTCAAAACATGCGCGCATTTTATTTACTACAATTTAAATGTGGAAAAGAATAAATTATTAACGAAAAGTGTAACTTTACGATTTTTACATACAAATTAGCACACATATGTACAACATAAGTACACATAAATCACAATTGTGTTGTTTGAATTCACATTTTTATTTTATTTCAATTATTTTTAAACACATACATATAAACTGAACACACAATTGTTTCGTTACCGATCACTTACTATTCGCTCACAGTGTGTTTCCTGTGTATCGTCTTAGTGAAATAAAATAGGATAATAAAATATAGAATACAAAATGAAACAAACTGGTATAAAATTAAAAAGAAATAAATAATTAAATTAAAAAAAAAAAATCAATTAAAATAAAATAAAACAAATTTAAATTAAATTACAAGAATGTAAAATACAATTATAAGGATTAAAATAAAGGAAAATTAAAGAAAAATTAGCAAAATTATATGTAATGAAATAATAAAGTAAATTAAACTAAATTAGAATAAATAAAAAAATGTATTAAAAATAAAAAGTAAATCAAGTCAAATAAAAATATTTAACAAATAAAACTCGTACACAATAGCACAAAATAAAAAATACAAAATTGAATTACATAAAATTATATAAATAAAATTAAATTAAATTAGATGAAATATATTAAATAGAAAAAATTAACACAAAATTGAATTAAATAATGCAAAGTAAAGTAAAATAAAATAAAACCATACAAAATAAAAGAGATGTATTAAAATAAAATAAAAAAAATTAATAAAGTCAATAAAATGAATCAAAATAAAATAAAATTAAAAAAAGAAATTTAAAATATATTACAAAAATTAAATATAAATTAAAGCGAAGTGTATTTAAAATAAAAGAGAATAATTTAAATAAAATAATAAAAAAATTAATTTAATTGAATTATTCTATTTTTTGTTATAAGTTTATAATTAACTAAAGGCTTGGTTTTTTCTATGAATTGATTATTTTTTTATACAGCAAAAAAAAGGCCGAAGTGGCAGCTGTTTATTTATTTAAAGAAAATGAAATTAAATAAATTAAAATAAAACAAAGTGAAGGATAAATTCAAATATAAAAGAAATTAATTTAAATAAAACAAAATCAATTAGTAGCAAGCAAAAAAAATCAAATAAAATGAAAAAAGTTAATATTAAAATAAAACTAAAATAAATAACAAAAATGAAAAATAATATAATAAATAGGATTAGGGTAAAATAAATCAAAATAAGATTTAAAACACAAAAATTAACTGCAATAATAAAAATAAAATAAAATTAAACTAAACTAAATTATATTATATATAATTGGAACTTTTGTAACCGCTGAAGCGATTTTCGGCCGAGTTCCTACTCCACCAATTTGTGGTTTTACGTCTTGATGTTTTTCCAACAAATGGAGGTACCTACAGTTTATACTAAGCCGACTCCGAGGACATTTTTTTTTTCGCGTCAGAAATACACTCGGATGAGTTGACATTATCTGGCGAGGGGCGACTATAATTAGAAAACTTAACTTAATTTTTTATTTAAATTAATTTTCTATAAGTTTTTGGATTTTGGTAAATTATTTTAAATAAATAAGAAAATAACAAGAAAAAAAATTAAAATAAATTAAATTAAATTAAATTAAATAAATAAGATAAAATTAATTAAAATCAAATAACGAAAAAATTAAAATTAATTTAATATAATTAAAAAGGAATAAATTAAAATAAATAAAAGATTATCAAAAGCAACAGAGTAAAATAAAATAAAATTAAATTAAATAAACTGACCTTTCCAACTTTTCGCCTGGGACTGGAACTGTAAAACCGCTATATATGCACGTCTCTTTTTAGGCAAACTAATCTTTCGGTTCTTAAAATATTCATACTAGTACATATCTGTCTACATATATTTATGTTTATGGCGGAATTTGTGGAATGCGTCTTGATGTTTTCCCAACACAAAGAGAGGCCAAGACAGTTTTTATTTCATGTCAGAAATAACCTCAGAAGGTTGATATTCCCTGCCGACAGGTAAACGCAATTGAAAAATTAAAGGTTTTAAATTATTTTTTCCATAATAATAGTTATTTTTGGTCTGATCATAGTAAGAATCCATGACCCTCCTCAGGGCAGTACACGTTGCTAACTATTTGGCCAGTATTTTCGTTACGGATATTCAGACCAAAATGGGAAGAAATATCTGCTCAGACATTTAGTTTAATTTGTGTATTCTAGAATCTGAATTGTGATGTTTTTTAACAAACGAATACTTCAATAAGGAATTATACATCCTAACTTTTGCAATGAAGCACAAAAGATACTGAAATATATAACACTTTAATTTTGCAATATAGAAATTTGGCGATAATTTTGTACAGTTACAAACTAAAACAATTATTCTGATATAGTAGTGGGACCTTTCATTATAGAGCTACATAAAAGTAAGTCAAAAATATTATTTTTACATCTGAAATAAAATCAAATCCATTTACGTAAGTTTTAATCTGTTAAACTTAGTTGAATATAACTCCTTCTTATTTGTCATAAAAACGACATTAGAAAATACACATCTCTGCAGCAGTGATAACGAGTCATGGCCGCCTAACTCGTGTCATGAACCAGTCTAGTTATTAGCAGAAAGAAAAAAAGTTTATGTTATAAATATTTGATTTAAATATTTTTTAATGGAGTTGTATAAAAATTTTGAACTTAAAATGGTTTAAAAATAAATTTTAGGCGGCTATGACTCAAGAGTAGGCTATAATATTTTGTTTGATATTTCACATAGATTTAAACTGAGATTACCATTTATTTATTTTGCAACAAATGTATGTATACTTTGGTACTTTTATATTGCAAATTCCATATCTTTTACATTTTTGTTTTTAAATACCCATTAAGTACTTTAACAAAAAAAAACGGAAAATAAAAGAATACACAACCAAATTTGTAAATTAGTGACGTATAAAAATTCTAGAACTTGCTATGGTTACCTAGTACGTATGTCTTTAATCAATATGTGAGTTCCAGTTGTTTGTACGTCTGTTTAGTTTTTTTTTCCTTTCAAATAATAACCAAATACTTTCGTGCAGTATATAAGTAAATAAACTTCCACTCTATCTTATATCTCTGTCTACAGCAAATTGTAAAATAATTATAAACACAATAACATATTAGCAGTCGAAATTTGTCTTTTGTCTACGTGTGTAAAAAATTTGTTTGAAAACTTACAACTTCTAACTCTAAATAAATAATAGTAGTCGTGTACTCTTTATTGTTTTTTAAAATGAACTATGAACTCTTAAATGTTTCTTAACTGATTTGCTTTTTTCTATAAAAAAAAATATACATATATGCTATAAAATGCTTGTTTTTTACAATCTCAACTAAAAAAAAATAGTAAAACTTGTGTATTCATATCACCAAAGTTCACATTGTATGTATGTATATACAAGTAAACGTAGTTACTATAAAATCACTAATCATAAAAAGTTTCTTAGTTTGTTTTTTATTATTAATTTTTTTTTTTGTTGGTTTTGTAATAAACATTTTGCTTCATATTCTACAAATTCTTCAACTTTCCAACACTTTCTAGAATTCTTTTCTCTCAACCTTTACTATAACGATCGAATCCTGTTATCGGAAAAAGTCTTTTTAAATTGAATTTTTATTACACGAAAATATTTATTAAATAGTTAAAAAAAAAATTCAAAATATAAGAATTTTAATAGATATTAGACTAGCTGAAAAAAAAACAAATCGAACTAATTTTCCAAATACATATATACTGTTTATTGTAGAGGGAAACTGCAATTTGTCAGTGTTTTTCGCTCACCCGCTAACCTGCCAAACAACAACAATAGTGTAACACTTGTGAAAATTAAGCAACTTTTAACCATGTACTAGTGTACCTTTTTCACTCTGCTTTTTAACTAAAACAAAAAATGTATATTTATATGTATCACAACGCATACTACTTACATATGTACATATCTGTATACTCGTACATACTCGTATATCTTTGTGTCGCTCAAAAAAGAAAAAAAAAACAAAAAAACAACACAACCAAAATTTTCTTATACTTATACATCATACTATTTATCTACACACGCCTACAAAATAAAATAAAAAAAAATTTAAAAAAATGTGTTTGAAAATTTACTTTTCTTTTCAACCTAATCGCCGCAGAAAATAACAAATGCATATTTTTTCTAAAATTGTATTTTCTTCTTTTGTATATATTTATTTTAAAAATGCTTTGGTGGTGATTAGGTGACATGACACGCGATAGAGAGGATGTGAACCGTAAGTATTTTCATCATAAGGTGTTTTGTGTGTGTGTTGAATATTTGTGTTGTTGTAAGTAATTAATTTTTGAAAGCAGCGACATCTTTAGGGTAAATATAAGTCGTAGAATTTACATAAATTTATTATTACTCATTAAACATTAATCGGTGGTTGAATACTGCAGTTTAAAATATTTGAAAATAAATACGCGCCTAAAACTATGCCACTAAAATATGTTGAAAATGGTAGTGAAGAGAAAAACATTAAGAAAAAAGGCAAACATTTTTGCAGACTTCATATTTACAAGTATGAACAGTTAATTCTTAATTGACCTACTCTGTTCTGGGATCATTAAAGAAGCAGTACAGAGAATTTGACAATGAAATCCTAACTAAGTGATTGGCAGCTTTATATAAAGTCTGCACTTCATACTCTTTAGGAAAGGTTGGGTCGCTGTAAAAAATGGTAGCAAGCAGCTGATCTACTGCAACTTAAAATGAAAGTGCTCTTTCTCAGTCAATAGTGTATTCCACATACGATGGCATTTCCTATTATTTTATATTAAGTTTTGAAAAATATATCACTCAAGGGGAAAGTGCTGAGATGCCTAGACTTTTTACACCTCTAAACTAATTGCACAGAAAATTTTGGGCATGGGAGCGATGCACAAAGCCGTGGAAAGATGAAACCAAAGCTCATCTACTACTACTCTTTAAGCTATGAATGAATCACCTGACCGCTCTCCGACTGATTACATTGAAACGATAGTGTTCAATCCGAACCTTAACAATGCCAAATGGCTGATACCCGAATTGGTAATGGATAGCCGATTTAATCCACTGGCGTGCACTGTAGCAAACGCTTTCAAATTACGACAAAACCTTTTCCTCAAAGGCTACCAAAGCCAACTGATCGGATGATTTCAACGTCCACGTTTCATCACCATAAAGTATGGCAGGAATGAGGAGTGGTTTGTAGAGTATATCTTTAATTCGTCGAGAGTAGCGATTTACTTTCATTTACCTCCTCAATAGAAAGTAGCACCTGTTGGGAATCACTAATCGAATCAAACTCCGTCATAGTTGGATAACGGAAAGTGTTTTACCGCGCTTCATTGTGCATTTTTTCCATTGGTATATACCAAGTCCTACCTACAACCACAGAGAATCCGATTTCTTTCACTTTATCTTGCCTACAAGCGGATATTTGCTTGCCATCCATCAGAGGCTCGAAATCGTCAGATACTCGAATCTTTTGTGGCTACTCCCAGCTGAATAATTCCAAACTAACCTGGCCCCATTTTCCACGTAGAGTTTAGAGCAAATAATTTAAACATCCCAACAAAAATTTCGCACATTTAAAAATGCAATATTTTAGGCAAACTTTTATACTTCCAAATTAATTTGTTTTCCGAGGATGTCGCTGAAATTTAAATAAACTTGAAATATATTTTATAAATGTATAAAAAACAGAATTCATCAAATAACTGAACACTATTTCAAGCAAAGTATGTAAATACAAAAATCGTACCAAGAACCAAGTCTACAGCTCTATGTATGCATAATAACATTGATAATAATGTAGTTTAATTAATGTAGTCATCAATTAAAATAAACTTAAGTTTCGAAAAATCCAAATAGCCAATAATAAATGTGATTTTCTGAGGTGAAAATTGGCAACATTGCCTAACGTAATAATGTGAGTCTAACAATTTCCATTCCACTTGAGACGCCCTGTACTCAACAAGTAACATAGGAAAATGATTTTTGTTTATAACTGTACAAAACAACGTGTTGCGGCTAACTTTTCTGGCTTTTCTAATGAATAAAATTAAATATCCTGTGATATCCTGTGTAACGCTGTATAATCTATATTTAAATTTTAAAATATTTATTCTGTAATTATATGTATTAATCAGTGGCTATTTGTATATACATACATATCATATAATTTTGTTTCGCAAGTGTACCTTAATAATGTTTCCATTTTTATTTACAGTCATAAATCGTAATGGTCGCCGTACTAATGGCACCGGTAACGGTAGTACAGGATTGCATATGAATTCAATAGCAGCGAAACAAGTTAACAAGGTGAAGCCCACAATTAATCGACAACAAGTCGAAGGACAAGTGATATCGCCATCACAATATAACAGGTGAGTTACCGAGGGAGATTTATTTATAGAATAAATAATATAAAAAATTATATTTATTTAAAAAAATATATATGAAAAAAATATTTATTATTTTTTTAAAAATGCTTAAAATTATTAATAAAACATAAAGCTTTAAGCCTGCAACGTTGTACAATTCAGCTAAGCAAAAGAAGAAATTAAATATACAAAGAATGTGATTTTCAACTGAGGGACTTAAAAAAAATATAGTAAAATATTAGAATATTGGTTAATTAAAATAATTCTATTTTATAAGTAAACTGCAATATTAGTCGCAAAATTTATTATTTAGCAGCTTTAAAAGCGCATAATTTTTCTAAATTGCATTTTAATATAAACAAAAAAAAAACAAAACTTATAATAAAAATAAATTATAGTATGAAATTTAGTTGGAGAGGTTCTTAAATAAATAAGTTATATTATTTTTGCGCTGCGTGTTTTCACCCATAACAAAGTTTTTTATATTTTGCGCTATTTTCTGCAAAATCATCAAGGAATTTATTTCACTCATTTTGTTTACCCTTCTCTCAAATGTAAATTGTCTATTCAACTGAGTTCTTTGTGTTCTTATGTTTATGAAGATTCTCTAACAGCCAAAGCCTTTGTAAAATATGCCACTTAACAGCTGTAAAACAAGTTTTTCAAAAGAAAAAAAATATAAATACTGTTATATACCTACTATAATATTTACGACAAAAATCACAATTTAACATATGTATATATGTATTATGTTTGTAAGTAATTTTTAATTCTCAAATTATGGAATAACAAAAAAAATTAATTAAAAAGCAATACTAATAAAAATAACAACAAAAGAAAACTCTTAATATGAAAAAATTTTGTTTCAGGCCGCCAGAAAACGATGCTAACCCATATGCGGGCTACCAACTCGCTTACGAAGTTAAAAAGCTCATGTATGCGTCCATTCTAATAAAATATTTCCAAACAAAAAACTATGCTTTCACTTAAAATTTTCACACAATACTAGTTGTTTGTTGTCATATACTACTACTATTCTGCTACTACTTTTTTTTATCTATCTACTAACTAACTAACTGTCTTTGTAAATATATTGTCTACTTGTTTGTACATATTTTTCTGTAAATCAGTGTCTATATGTGCGAAAACTCTTTTTGCAAGCGCAAATATTTCTATATATTGTATGCAATGTAAATTCACATTTGGGAATTTTTTTTTTTTTTTTTCTTGTAAAATTTTCATAACTCTACTATTTTTCATCTGTGAATATGCATCCGTTTTTCTTTCAATACCAGTAGATGAATTATTTAATATATATTTTGTTGGCATTTTTTTCCATATTTCATGTGCAATTCGTGCATCAATGTCTTGTAGTATTTAGGTGTCATTTCGAACAAAAAACAAAAAAAAGCACACACATTTATACATATTTTCACCCAAATGACTCAATACCCACTCAACTTTATGAGTCTTGCGTTTGTTTCACTCATAATTTACACTCTCTCAGGCCTTGCTATGACTTGCTGTTTACTACACTCCATTCATGTCAACTGCATTAATAGTTATATGTATGTGTTTAATGTGTGTACATATATTACATATATTATGTATGTATGTATATGAAATAAGTTTATAATAATTTTTCATTGCCTTGTTTATGTAATAAAAATAAACTTAATTATATTTAATGCCTGTATCTTTTCCTCTTCTCTTCTTATAATTATATCTATATGTAATCGTTAATATATATTAAATGTCTTATTTATGATAATAAGTGTTTGTATAATGTACATTAATCATTTCAATAATATTATATTAATATACTACTATGCTTATTACATCGATATTAAAAGATCAAACACCTTTTGGCATTTTTCTCACACACACACTCATTAATATTGTGTCATTTAACAGTGATATTTAGTTACATATTTAAGTTCGCAAATAACACACATGTGTATGTAAATCGAATAAATAATGCTTAAGAAGCATTGAAGGAAGGTGCGCTGCCTTTTGCAATAAAAAAGGAGAGCTGAGTTCGGGCTTGCCGATGTCTTTATACCTTTCTTGATCGCACCCAATTCATGGCTTTTCCTTTAAAGAATAAATATTAAGTCTTTTCTCTGAGGAATTGGTTGGTGTGTGAAATATGGTAAGCCTTCCGATTTCGATGATTTCTGGTGTCAATATTTATTTATATTTATCTGTTGTAGAATACCAATTTTCTCGCTCTCAGTTGCTCTTTTGACGAATTTTTGCGCCAAAACCTCTCATTTGAGCAAATTGGTTGTACGAGGGCTATATGATATAGTCAATCGACGATTTTTGGTGACAATGTTTATTTGTACGCAGGAATATAAAATACAAAATTACACACTTTTTTGACAGAATTTTGAACAAAGCCTCATTTTCCGCACCAATGTATTGTTCATTATATGTGGGCATATATTTCGTCCCATATAAAATGACCCAATCTGAGTAGTTCTGACAAATTATCAAACAATTGTACCATCTGTGTACCAAGTTTAGTTGAATATGGCTAAATCGACACAACTCGGCACTCTAATCCGATCGAATGAATATAAGTTTTGATTGGTGGGTGAATAAGTAATGTCGTCGAAATTTCTAATATTTATTTTATCAATTTATTATAACAACTACTAGTGTCTAATGATAAATGGATCCAGATAACGCTCCTGTCCCATTCTACAGCGGATTAATTAAAGCAGCAATGTTAGTTGGAGATGTTGGTAAAAGAGTTCACCATTTATGATTGACTGCTTTGTGCATAAATGAAATATAGGGATATGTTAAAGGAGTGTAGATCTCAACACTGACTCTTTTGCCGATAGAAGTTTTTCATGTTTTCATATTTTTAACAGCTCGTGTGCTATCCTTCTCAGAGATTGTAGGATATCTAATCTCAGTCTCCAGACTTGGATGAGCACCGTTCGAAATCGGTTAGCTTAAAGCCGGTGTTATACATATATTTATTTCATACATGTGTGCAGGAGTTAACAATGCGATGACATTCGTATAACATTTCCTTTCATATGATATATCAGAGGTTCACTACATAATTGTGTTTAAACACCCTAAACTATTTCAGAATTTTTTATTTTTTCGTCTTCATTAATATTTTATGAGAAAATTATCAATTTTTGTTCTAATTTGGCTTTATTTTCATCCGCTTTATATTCATATTTTAATTTACTTAAATACAAATGCGATCGGTTAATAATAATAAAATAGAGATATATAGAGTTAGTAATTTTAGAAGTTTTAATTATAGGACCCAGGTTGCAATTTAAATTTTAAATGATTTTATACAAAAAAAAAAATTAATAACATAAAACGATATTTCCTAAAATGATAAAATAAGATGAAATAAAACAAAAGAGCCCAAAATATATTAAAAAATTAAAATTTGATGAAAATAACATAAATAAAATAAAAAATTTGTTAAACTAAATTTAATTAACAAAGTTCAATTTAATCAGTTAAAATAAACAAACTTAAATAAAAAAATATAATATAATAAAATAAAAAATTAATAAAATGTAACAAAGTCAAATACAAGGAAATATAAAAGAATACAAAATTAAATTAAATAAAAAAATAAAACAAGATAAAATGGAGAGAAATAAATATGTTCGAAACAATAAAATGGAATAAAAACTATAAAATAAAATAAATTAAATTAAACTAAAAGTAAAATAAATTAAAAAGTTCAGAGAAACATACTACCGAGCTAAACCAAATAAAATTAAAAATTTATAAAGGAGCTGAAACGGAAGCAAATCAAATAAAGTGTTACTAAATTAAATCATAAAATAATAAAATAAATGAATTGAAATAAGTGCGAAATACAATAAACCAAAAATAAATTAAGATATTATAAATAAAAAAGAAAACAAATTAAAATGAAGTATATAATATAAATAAAATATAAAATAAAATAAAATAAAATAAAATAAAATGAAATAAAATAAAATAAAATAAAATAAAAAAAATGAAATAAAATAAAATAAAATAAGATAAGATAAAATAAAATAAAATAAAATAAAATAAAATAAAATAAAATAAAATAAAATAAAATAAAATAAAATAAAATAAAATTAAATTAAATTAAATTAAATTAAATAAAATTAAATAAAATTAAATAAAATAATATAAAATAAAATAAAATTAAATTAAATTAAATTAAATTAAATAAAAAAAGTAAAAAACACGATTAAACTAAAATAAATTAATTTAAATAACAATACGAAACGGTAAATTAAAATGAGATTAAATTAAAAAAAAATCAGTAAAAAAGAAAATTTTTTAACAAAAAAAACTGAAACGGATTGAAGTAAAAATCATAATGATAATAAATAAAACAAGTCAAATATATCGAAAAAAATTATATACATTTAATTTAAATTAAATTTAAAAAGGAGTGAAATTAAAAAAAATTAAAGCAAAATTAATAAAATTATAATAAACTATATTATATTAAATAAAAAAAATAAAACAAAGTGATGTTATTTATAATTAATTAAAATAAAATAGGAATTAAAGAAAAAAGGAAATTAAATTTAAGTAAAACAAAGCAAAATAAATTAAAATATAAATGAAATGCAAAGAATTAGGAGTTATACTTTATCGTTCATTGTACAGTACTTCAGTGAGGCTGATTTTAATTATGATACTTCAAATTACAATACTTAACTCTTAGTTTTGATACTTAAATATAAACCAACACAAAACACTGTTCATCAAACAAAAAGCATTGAACGAGGAAATATTTACATAAAAAGCCATTTGAAAATATCTTGCATAATTTATTTGACAAAGTCATAGTAGTATTTATAGAAAAAAAACATACATGAATGAATATACCAACTTTATGCGCGCACATTTAAATCAGCACTAATACTCATATAATATTACATACATACAGTATGCGATGTAAATGCATCAGTTTGTTTGTTCATTTGAAACGTTTGAAATTTTGCCTAAGTACCTATACATATTGAATATAAAATTAAATACTTAACGGCATTTCTTGTCATTTGTAAGCATTCGTTCATTTGTATACCGTAAGAGTAGTAGTAATGCACTGTGATTATAATTTTTGCCATTACTGTTCAACTACAATTACACTTTTCTCTCTACTCTCCCATCGGCACTTAGGCCAACAAGTCGCAGCTCCGGTACTGGCACGCAAAATCAAAATGGCGGCGTTACACTACCGGCTGGCATTGCGGACGATCAATCGAAAGATTTCGATTTTGAAAAGACCGAGATGAAATATGATTCGACGGGCATGTTCCACTGGAGTCCGGCTAAGAATTTAGAAGACTGCATATTGGTGGGCAAAATGAAATTAATTTACTGCTGTTCTAACTCATTTGTTTTGATTAAAATAATTTTATTGATTATGTTTACGTGTATTTTTTTCTCTTTTTTACTCTCTCGCAGGATCGCAATCAAGCGGCAATGACTGTTCTAAATGGTCATGTTGTCGTATGCCTTTTTGCCGATCCAGATTCGCCGTTAATCGGACTACGCAATTTGGTAATGCCATTACGAGCCTCCAACTTTCACTATCACGAACTGAAGCATGTGGTGATAGTCGGCTCGGTGGACTATATACGCCGTGAATGGAAGATGTTGCAGAATTTGCCAAAAATATCAGTGTTGAATGGTTCGCCGTTGAGTCGTGCCGATTTGCGTGCCGTTAACGTAAATTTATGCGATATGTGTTGTATTCTGTCGGCGAAAGTTCCTAGCAACGACGATCCGACGCTGGCCGATAAGGAGGCCATTCTGGCGTCGCTCAACATCAAGGCAATGACCTTTGACGATACGATCGGTGTACTGAGTCAACGTGGGCCCGAATTCGATAATCTGAGCGCGACCGCTGGCAGCCCAATTGTGCTGCAACGGCGCGGCTCTGTTTACGGCGCGAATGTGCCCATGATAACAGGTAAACTGCATCGCACTAAGTTGGCTGTGTTTGCGATAAAACGACCAAATCCATGCGACACATTCAGTAACCAGCCATTGGCGATGGCACAAAGTTGGTTGGCGTGGAGTTTATGCGCAATACTTATTTCTGGATATTTTTATTGGTTTAATGATTTCCTATTCAATTCAAAATAGTTTTTAAATTTCGTTTATATGTTTTTTTCAAATGTGTATTATAATTAGAATAATTCTTAATTGTCGCACACGAACAACAAAGCACTCTATAACAGTCTTTGATTGAGCCAATTTTGTGCCAACTGTACGCCCGCGGCCTTGAATGTTTTAGTCGTTGTTCATAATCGTCTTAATCTTAAATACGCTCGCCGCTAGTTAAAGGTCAAAGCGTTAAACTCTGTTTTGGTTGTTGTTTCAAGAACTGGTCAACGATAGTAACGTGCAGTTTCTCGATCAAGACGATGACGATGATCCGGATACTGAGCTATATCTAACGCAGCCGTTCGCCTGCGGTACCGCCTTCGCCGTTAGTGTTCTCGACTCGCTGATGTCGACGGTAATTGAGTGCAACCTCCATAATAGTGTTCAAATAATGACAATAAAGTAGCTTCCCTTAATTTAAATGTTTGCAAGTAAACTAATTAATGTTTTGACTTTCAAAGCTCACTTGGAGCATAACTCACAGATCCTCACAAATGCTGTTCGAACTCCATAGTTTACTATATTTTATTTATCTGCTTTTTTATTTAAATTTTATCAACCACTAGACGTACTTTAATCAAAACGCTTTAACGTTAATCCGCTCACTTATCACCGGCGGCGCTACACCAGAGCTGGAACTCATACTCGCCGAAGGTGCTGGTCTACGTGGCGGTTATAGCACCGTCGATAGTCTTAGCAATCGCGACAGGTAGGCCTCTGGTTTCCAGCTATTTGCATAGGTTTATTAATATTTTATACAACACAGATGTCGCGTTGGTCAAATATCTCTGTACGACGGCCCATTGGCTCAATTCGGCGAATGCGGCAAATATGGTGACCTATTTGTGGCAGCGCTCAAATCGTATGGCATGCTTTGTATTGGCCTCTACCGATTTCGGGATACGAGTTCGAGTTGTGATGCGAGTAGTAAACGTTATGTTATAACGAACCCACCCGATGATTTTTCACTACTGCCAACAGATCAGGTAAGTTTAATGAAATCTCACATTTAAATATATGTACCTATCGAGTGTAGTGCGAGAAGACATATTTTAAAACACAATTGCGAGTACCATATTCGTATATAGGAAGGAGCTTGCTTCTAAACCGGTACGTACCCAGTACCGCACCTGCATACACACTTCAGTGAAACCTTCAACCGAATATGCGGCGCTGCTCTATGAAAGGCCACCCTCTATTGGAGCAGTAACTCTCGTGATTGGCTTGCATCTCGCAGAAAGGTTGCTCAGGTTTTGGGGTACAAGAAAAAAGGCTCCCGAATTAACCGAGTAGATAGCATTGAAGACCAGGGTTCGAGTTCTGGTTAGACCAATCTACAAAAACATAGAAAATTAATTTTTTGTAATTGCGATCGTTCTTCAGCAGCGAATGCCAGGCCTACCAAGTCATTTTTTTTTTTTTTGACTTAAAATAATAGCCCTTTATAAGAATCCAATTTTTCATATATATTATATAATCGTTGCAAATTAAAAAGAAGAAGAGATAGTGATTTGCGAAGAGCTTGCACTTCAGAACCCTAGACGTAATTTAGATGCGGATTCCTATACTTTGGCCTATTTCTGCTTTGAGCTACCTTTTGTCCGACCACAGTTTCCTCCTTCTTTTTGGTGAGATCAACTCAATGGTCTGTTTTGAATCTTCTGACGACGAGCTTAGCCGACTTTATGAAGACTCACAGTAGTCTTCCGTGATACTGCTCTGTAAACAGCTCTCGCTGTTCAGCTGGCAATTTAAATGACTGTCCGGGCTAAGATATGAGCCGAAGCTCTTGATATAGCCAAATTAATTATTTCCAGCTGTCACCAGCCACAACATTACTTATAGAGAAAATAAGAAAAGTTGACAATGCGAGCAGCGAAATGGGGCCAAACTGGAGCAACTTGGGCCGGGTATTTTGGATCGTCGTCTTGTTGAAAAGTCCAGTGCCGTCCATGACCCAAACTATGCAAATTTCATACCCATATATCTTTATAAACATAGCAATCCATATTCACTTCTATAAAAACCAAACGCCCAGATGAAACCTTGAAACCCCAAACCCTAACTCTACCGCCTTCGGCTATAATATTTAATATTCTTCACATCCCACTTAGTATTTCGATTGGCCATAATTTCCAAAAATAAAATAATAAATAAATATTTATTATATTGGATGAGTGCATAAATTCGTGCCCGATTCCGCTGAATGCCGTTCGAATCGTTTGAGAGTGGCGCTCGTGAAAGAAATATATACATATTAGATATCGTTGGAAATGTGACAGTCTGAACTGTAAATCAAGCACAAACTAACAATAATTCTGATTTGATTTGCTTAGTGAAAAGACGCATGGAAGATGGACAACGAAAAAGATCATATGCGTCATATTATGTTATACGAATTCCTCAAAAGAAAAACAGTAGGCGCTGCAACCAAAGATATTCGCGAAGTTTATTTGGACCGTGCTCCAGCACTCCGCACAGTAAAGAAATGGTTCGCGAAATTTCGTTCTGGAGATTTTAACCTCGAAGATCAACCTCGCAGTGGACGGCCTTCTGAGCTCGATGACGATGCTCTAAGGACTTCAGTTGCTAATAATTCACGTATTTCGACGGAAGAGGTTGCCAGTAAATTGAACGTCAACAAATCAACTGCGTTTCGTCGTTTAAAAAAGGTTGGGTACACTTTGAAGCTCGATACATGGGTGCCACATCAGTTGAGTGAAAAAAACAAAGTGAACCGTATGTCAACAGCAATTTCTTTGCTTCGACGGATCAAAAACGAACATTTTTTGGATCGGCTCGTGACTGGTGATGAAAAATGGATCCTGTACAACAATGTTCAACGCAAAAGAACATGGAAACAGGCACACGAAGGAGCGGAACCGATGTCGAAAGGTGGATTGCATCCGATGAAGGTACTGCTGTGCATTTGGTGGGATATCCGAGGCGTGATCTATTTTGAGCTCTTGCCAGCTGGAGAAACGATCACTGCCAACAAGTATTGTCAGCAATTGGTTGAATTGAAAAAAGCAATTGATGAAAAATGTCCGATTTTGACCAATCGCAAAGGAGTTCTTTTCCATCATGACAACGCCAGGCCACATGTTGCAAAACCGACCCTGGCCAAACTGAAGGAGATGAATTGGGAAATCATGCCGCATCCCCCATATTCAACCGACATTGCACCTTCTGATTATCATTTGTTTCGATCGCTGCAGAACAATTTGAATGGAAAAAAATTTAAAAATGTGGAAGACGTCAAAAACCACCTTGACAACTTTTTCAACGAGAAACCGCGCGATTTCTATGAATCAGGCATCCTTAAATTGGTTGAACGTTGGGAGTGGATTGCCGAACATGATGGCGAATACATAATTGATTAATAAAAGCGCTCTCTTCAAAAAATTTCAATTTTAGTTTGCACTTGAAATCGGGCACGAACTTATGCACTCATCCAATACTTTCATTCATCGGTGAGAAACACCCGTTTCAAAATCCATACCTTCCGCAAGATGTGTTTTGACAAAATCAACTCGAAGCTTACTGTTTATATGAGTAACTAATTTCGTACTTCTAAATCCATGATTACTTATTGCATTACATACAGTTTTAGGATGAACATAAAAATTCGAATATTTTTCTATATGATTCGTAGCATTGTTATCATTTCTGGGATTAAATTCAATATCTTAAACCGAAACTATATTTCTATACTTACATTCAAATTACAAAATCAAGGGGAGAATTCCGAAAAAGAAATAAAATAAAATAATTCCCTTTTATATTATTTTATTTTATTTGATTTGATTTTATTTTATTTTGTAACTAAAGTCCAGTTTCTTTTCTTACAGGTTTTCGTATTAATGCAATTCGATCCGGGCTTAGAATATAAACCGGCCGCAGTACGTGCGCCACCTGGTGGTCGCGCTGCCAACACACAAGGCTCCGGGGTCGGTGGGGGTGGTTCAAACAAGGATGATAACTCTTGATTGTTACTGTGTAGCGCCTTAACTGATGGTCCTTACTCGTACATTTGAACGATGGAGCAAACGATCGGGTACAAAATAGCGTATTTCTGGCAAATAATAATCGGAAAAATATGGCAAAAACTATGTGCGGCAATGCAGAATGTATCAAACACACAACATTAATACAAACACCAACAAAAACCTAAAAACATAAAGAAATTCTAAAATAATTGGTAATAAAAATTAGCAAACAAAAAAACTGGTGTTAATGCCGCAGGTAAAGAAAATAGGAAAATAATTAAAATAATTTGTCAAAATTGAAAAAGAAAAACAAAAATTATTTAAACTTTATGTAATGCCCAGGTAAATGCGCTATTTTGTACTTTTATATTTGCACAGACATTCGCCAATGCAGCGCTCATTGAAGTAGTTCAAATATATATATATATACATATGTAAAATGAAATGAGTTTTGCCGCAAAAAAAACACAAAATTTCAATTTTCTCAATTGGAAGCAAATGTCTTTGCAAATATAAATATCAAACTCCAACACAAATAAATTATGTACACAACTGATTCAACGAATCGGTAAGAGTAATATCCATCGTTCAAATGGTAAAAAGATTGCTTCCCACACCATTCCGCAAAGCCCCTAACTACTTAATTAAGTTTTTGTCAAAAATTGATCATCCTTTTTTTTAGCATTATGCTTTCATTTTATTTTATTTTTTTTTTTAATAAATATTTAAAGTAATATTATATTTTCCTTAGCTCTCAATATGTATTTAGTTAATTTTTATAATTTATAAATTTAGCTTTGAAATAATTTTTTGTATATTTATTGCACTTGCATCCCTTCTGATGTTGAAAGACCTACCAATATATATATATAGATTAGCTTAGCCTTGAAACTTTAAACAAAATATTTACTTAAATATAATTTAAAAAAAACATAATTAAAAAGTTAAAAAAAATATTTAAAAAAGTTATGTATGAGCTTTTGTTTTTATATAATTTTTTTTTAATTAATATTATTATTAATTTAATTAATTAATAAAAAAAAAGTCTTATAATTATGTATTCTAGTTTGTATTTATACAAACTTATGTTCTTTTAATTTATTATGTATTTGTTGTGCTGTAAAATAGTAGTTTTATGTATATAGTAGCTTACGAACATATTTAATAAATATTATTAAAAAATTCTACCATCAACATTATCATTTAATTTTCTATTTAAATACACAGAGAGGCGCGTTAAAATTTGATAAGTAAAAAGTCGCTACTGATTTTTTGTATACTTTTTTTTCTCTATTGAAATTTAATTTTAAGCAAGCACATATTGGCCAATATTATCTATGACATTTTGATATTATTCAGATAGCTTCACAATTCTTCAGCGAAAAGCTTTTTTGGTTTAACTGTGAAGAGCTTGCCCAAATGATTTTTATCGAAATACTTACAATTAAGAGTGTTTTACGGAGACCAAAACAAACAGTAGTCAGATATTACACACTATATGATGGGTGAATCCAAGCTTCAAATCAAAGAAAGATTTACATATATGGTCTGGCGTTGTCATGTTGACACACAACACCTTTTCTATCTGGCTGCTTCTTCTTAAAGAAAGCAGTGCTTAGAATTGACCGTTTCGGCGGCTTGTAGCAGCTCGTAGTGGCATATTCTCCGCATCACCTTGTTTGTCTTCAAATCAAACTTTAAAGTTGTTTGTGAAGGGTCACCAGTTTTTGAGAGCATTTTTTCGCTTTTTTTTTGAACTCATATCACCCTTGATGAGTTGCTTCAGAAATGGTTGATGGTAGTTCGGTTAATCGATATATTTGTCGTGATTTCATGTTACCAAACAGTCACAAAAGTGAATCCTAAGCTATCGCCTGACTGCTTGCATGCCATTTTTGCTCCACCAGTAGCAGAATTTCGCCGGTGTTTCGAGTGACAGACTGGCCGATCAATATATACACTAACGAAAACCAAACTATACCAGAAAAAAAACTGTGCTTGAGAATTTGTTTTGCGAAGTAGCATGCTCTCGAAAGAAAGAAAAACCCCCTTTTCATTGCCCATTTTTTAAGTTTTTAAATGAAACCACGATACCATAAGTTTTCAAGCGAAATAAATAACTTCACCTATGTTTCGCTACAAACAAGAGGAAGACAAATCCTTAAAAGTATCAAAATAACCGACATCAAGCAATTCAGGTCGATTTTTTCATAAATTTCTACTACTTTTACTTATTTTTAACCGTTAAAATATTTGAATACATAATCAGCGACAGGTATTTACTCATTGTAGAGACTTCAAAGTAGGAAAATTTAACATCCGTTTCCGACTTCAGCTCCCTACTGTGTTGACCTGATCGATTTCGTTTTTCCTTTTAATGGTCATTTGTTGCTTATTTCACTTTAAAGCGCAGAGTTGCATGACTAATTTTGACAAACCGATAACAGAAACCGACAAAGACAAGGAAGCTAAACAAAAAGGGAGTTCGGCTACTTTATAGTCTCTGCAGTGTACATATGTACTGTGCTCTAACCATTTTTTTTTTTTGGTATTTTCTTTTTCGCAAGGACTTTCGTTTTAGCTGCTCACCAATCTTTAAACAACGCTTTTCTGTGTTTGTGTTTTTCTTTTTTTTTTTTTTTTGAAAAATTAACTAAAAACGCTACATTCATAATATGAATTTTTTCACTTTGGTTTTTCATAAAAAAAATATATTTTCAATTTAGTTCAAGCATACAACATATCTTTTTTTTCAATTCTGATTTTTCTTAAATTTTATATGATATTCTGATATAAAATTTTAGCTCATTCCATTACTGATTTTTTTATTAATATAAAATATGCTACCAAAAATTCTTTCACAAAATTCGCTATTTAACTCAAAATTCCGTAATTTTTTATTAAAAAACAAGCAAAAATTTAAGCATTCAACACGAAAAATAAATTCTTCGTTTCAAAATCAATTGGAAATCATATAGATTAATCTAAAATGCACCGCTTATAGCTTATTTCCTATAAATAAGGTCGCACATACATATGTATTCCTCGTGCTCCACCCTCCCCCCACACAATCCGTACCATTCACTTTATGCACTCATTTCACCGAAAAAAAAAAAACAAAAAAAAAACCAAAATCAAATGATTTGAACACCGCCTCATGGCCTAACGAGCACACGATTTCCATAGTACAAGCACAGCCGTAGCTCGTATCACGCGTGCATACATACGTATGTATGTTTGTATGTATGTACATAATTCACAAAATTTCATTAGCTTCACTTGCAAAATGAGACACACTGTGAGAATGGCACTTGACTTGGGCATAGCTGGGGAGGTATGTATGTATGTATGTATGTATGTATGTATGGTAAATTATTTAAAAGCATAATGCATTAAATATCATTTATATTTTACTAGCATAATTCATAATATTCACTGATAATTTTTATAATTTCATTTTTTTTTTTCATACTATTTTCCAACAAAATTCATCTTTGACATTCGACAAAGTTCGTTCTTCATACATACAGCACATGGCAAATGGTACTCGTATGCATATATGTTAAAAGCGAAAGGGAGGAAAAAATGCACATTTCGTTTATCGTTATATTTTGCGAAATTTTTCATTTTGTTTTTATGTTTTTTTTTTTTTTTTTTTTCTTCGTTACAATTTCTACGTTCATTTCCTATGTTCACTTCCGTACTGATCGTTTATCGTTAATCATTTTAATATCGTCTTTGAGTTTCATAAGTTCATCCAAACAACGTAATATCGAACAACAACAACCACAACAACAACGGCCAATTATTATAAAGAGTCAATGGTGTGACGTAAGCAACTGGGAACCATTAGTGAGGTTAGCTACACATTAAACAAAGGAATTAATGAACAAACAAAGAAAAACAAAAAAAAACAAAGAAAAACCAATAAACGAAGCAAGAATAAAATTGCAACTATACAACCTACTGAAAACTACAAGTCAAACAACAATCAACACCAAATTTAGCAGAGTAATGAATTACATACATACAAAAAATAAAATAGAAAAACGATAAAATTACATGTAAAAAATGGCATATTAAAATTTAAAACAAATTAACTCGATATTATTAAATTCGTTACAAAATGTAAAAGCACAGAAAACGGCTAAATTGTGAAAATACGTAATAGAGAGTAGCACGCGTGTGTATGTATGTATGTATGTATGCATTTTCATACCCCTGAGTCATACCGCGTGCTGCTACGTGATTCTAGCAAAATGGTGGTGGGTCTCTACGCTTTTGCGCCTAAAAACCTGCAAGAAACTGAAAACATAGAAGTACATACATATAAATGCGGCACTGCTTTGCAATATAAATTCTAAAAAATTGTAATATACAATATAGTTATGTTTGTATGTATTAATTAACAAAAAAAACAAAAGAAAAAAATTAATTCATAAATAGAGACAAGAAACTATGTTAATGCATATACGCAAATGTAAATACTAAATAAAAAATTATATATAGCAAAGAGATAAGTAATAGCATACATATGTACATATGTGCATATGTATGTATATTAATATATAATATTTAACCTTTTGTATAATTTACATTATGACAAGCAATCTTTGCTTCTATAACAAAAACTCGAAATATTTCAAAATTAAATATGCAAATTTTGGTAAATATATATGTATATATATATACATAAGTATGCACACATAAGTCATTTGTAAATAGTATGTACATATGTACATGGATGTCGTCTAAAAGGCATAAGTGACAATATGTACGGTTGGTTTTCGGTTTTTCTTAATTCAAATCGATTGATACGCATAAACCGTAAAAATTTCAAAACCCCATGAATTACCGTTACAAAGTTACGTGCACATTTTTTATTGTGTTTACTACTTCTTAAGCGAAAATAATTGTCATTTTACCTTTTTTTGCCACTTACGCTCTTCTGGCGGTTAGCGCACGCAACTATTTCAGCCAATGTATTTTTTTTTAATAAATTTATAATTATTTTTATTTTCTTAATACAAAAACCATTAGTTTCTATTCTCTGCTAAAGTTTTTTCAAGAAACCTTTTTTTTGCCAAATATAATTACAAATGGGATGAAATTGTTACTAAGTCTCCACGAGAACTTGATAAATTTTTTTTTTTTTTAATAAAAAAAGAATTTTAGAGAACTAATTTCATAAAAGTAGAATTTACGTTACGTATTAATTTTTTCACCACATTTGCATGTAAGAGAGTGGCTGATAAGGAAGG